CGTGCCCGAAGGCTGAGGGCTCAGGGAGTCCCTTTCTTTCTGTCCAGGTCCAGCCCCAGAGGAAGCCCCTGGGGGCAGCACCCATGACCGCCCCTGCCGCTGGCTGCAGGCGGCTGACCTATGTGCAGAGATGCCAGACATGCTGGCCAACGGCACCCGGCTGCAGCTGGCCAGGGTCCCAGCGGGCGTGCTGAGGACACCGGGGCTGCGGCACTTCTACTGCTGCACGCGCTGTGGGAAGGTCTTCTGGGATGGCTCCCACCTGGGTCGTGTTGCCACCCACTTCCGAGACGTCCTGGAGAGCGCCCCGGGCCCCTGTGAGCGGAGCCCAGCCCCCAGCCCGGCCAGCAGCTCCTTCTGAGGACAGCAAGGCAATAAACATGGAACATGCCGAGTGCTGGGCCTGTGGCCGTGGACTTGCTCATACGTTTCATGCTCGCCTCACAAGCCTTTCGTGGGCCCCTCTGTGTGCCAGGAAGTGCCGGGAACACCAGGGCGGGTCCCAGCCCCAGCAGCTGTTGGGGGAAGATGAGGGTTTCCAGATGGTCAGGATGCTGGGACCCCGAGCTGAGTGGGACCTGAAGGGTCTCTCCCTCACCCCGAGTCAGGGCTGTGTGGTCCCCCGGGATCTCTCTGTCACCCCCATCAGGCTGTATGGTCTCTGTGGGGTTTCTCCATCACCCCCGTCAGGGCTGTGTGGTCCCCGCGGGAGCACGTCAGCCACAGCCAGGCTGGAGGCACCTGGGCAGCCGGCCACGGCCAGGGCTTCGTACACACGGACGCAGGCGACTCCGTCCTCACAGCTGCCGCCCCTGGCTGGGAGGAGGACAAAGCCCAGGCGACCACTGCTGCCCACCCTGAGGACCTGAGGGTGCTGTGCCAGGTAGCAGGGAGGGCAGGGGGTCCCCGAGGTGGGAGAGGAGGAGGAGCCCGGGGAGGGGCCGTCCCAGGAATGTGCCCCCTCCCCTCACCCACATCCCTTTCCTCTGCTTCCTGCCTGGAGCGGAAATCAGGTCGGATTTGGCTGAGGAGCCCGGGCGGAAGCCTCGGTGCAGGGGCCTGGGGGCTGGGGAGAAGCAGAGTGAGGAGCAGGCTTCGGGCGCAAAGGCCTTGGGCATCCCTGGACTGGCCCAGCGGGGGCCTTGCTGTGGGCCCCGACCACACCAGGGCTGGCCACTGTGCCTGGGCACCCCTAGGCACTGCAGCCCAGCCCCTTAGCCCTCAGCAACCCAGCCGGGGTGTCATTTCACAGATGGGGGGGGCGAGGCTGGACGGGAAGGGCCTGGCCTGTGTCAGAGCCAACTGTCCAGTCTTGACCTGCCCCCTTGACCTGCCGGGCAGCTGGGGGGCCTGAGCCTAAGTCAGGCGGGGGTGTCAGGGGGAGCAGAGTGGGACCCCAGGAGAGGGTCAGGGCTCTGGACTGTGATGCTGCTTCCAGGAGGGGACTCCGGGTCCTCACCCTGTCCACACTCCTGCCTGGCGGGGTTAGGACAGAGTGGCTGAGGGCACCCACCCTCCGCCCAGCCCCGTCTCATCCTGGAGACACGCACGGCTCCCAGCCCAGGCCTGAGAGCTACTGTGGGCCCCGGGCAGAGCAGAGCAGAGGCTGCGGGAAGATGGAGACCACCGTCCTCCATCCCTCCCGGCCCTCCCGGCTGGCTCTGCCTCTGCCTGCCCCCACTTTCCACCGTGGCCCTGCTGCTGTCCGAACGTCCCTCACTGCCCAGCACAGGCTCGGCCTGGCTCTGTGGCGTCCAGCCCAGGCCCAGGCTCTGGTGCGGGGAGACTGTCTGCCCAGTCCCCACCCGGGTCCACGTGTTGGAAGCCAGCCTGGGGCTCTAGGGGTCAGCACCCATCAGGCTGCTTCCTGGGCAAGGGACAAACCCCAGGCTGACTGGGTGGCTGTGGCTGCTGGTGCCAGGCCATGCCCTGAGCGGCCATCCTGGCGGGCAGGAGACATGGTCGCAGGGATTGTCTGCGGCAGTTCCTTCCTCTGCTGCGGCCTGCGCTGGCCCGGGCTGAGTGTTTGTTATTTGATCTCGATCCTCTCAGCCCTTCTACCAGGTGTCTGGGCTGCTGGGAAGAAACACTCTCCTCTTTCCCACGCTCCCGACACATTTTAATGAATTAGCTGGAAGCCCCGCCCCCACTGCCCGCCACCCTCCCTCCCTGCTTAGTGCCTTTAAGGTGGCCGCAGGCCTCGGCCCAGCTCTGGCCAGCTGCCCCTTCTGTGCTGTCCTCCCTGGGCCCTCCCCATGTGGCTCACTGATCTGAGGCTGCAGGAAAGGGAAGGAAGGGGGTGCCTGCAGGGAGAAGGGGCCCCACCATTGCCTTCTGGGGGTGGGTGGGTTACAGGCAGGGCGCCCGGGGGCCAGCAGCCTCAGGACAGGCAGGGAGGAAGGATGGGGCCCAGCTGCACAGTCGGGGCTGAGCCTGTTGGGGTCCCAAGGCAGGGGCTCCCAGACAGCAGAACGCTCCCGCCTGCTTACGTCTCCGCCCAAGCAACACCAGCAAACGCCAGGGGGTCCTCGGCGCGAGCACAGGGTGGCTGGAGGTGGCCCCCAGGCCCCAGCATTTCGAACAGATGTCCACCTTTTGGATGTCCCTCGGCAAACATTCGGGAAGTGCTGTCTCGGAGCCGCTGCCCCGGCCCATCCCCCCTTCCCGTCCTCAGATGGAGCCGCTTCAGGGCCGTGGGTGTGGCCAGGGGAGCTTGGCGCCACTGTGCACGGTGGAGGCGCCAGAGCCAGCACCCCTAAGCTTTCTCCCCGTGGGCAGTGAGGGGTGGCCGGACTCTGAACCCCATAGATGAGCCTGGGCACAGGCTTGGGCCACAGCCACATGGCAGGCCAGGCCCGGCCACCTCTGCCTGACCCCGCTCCGGACCCCGGCGAACCCAGGGCAGGGGGTAGGCTCCCACCGCCGCACAGGGCCGCCCTACCAGCCACACTGTCCCTGCCAGGGCGCCCGAGCCGCCCGGCCCTCACCAGGGGCCGCCACCGATTTCACGCCCGTGGCGGGGCCCGCGTTCCCACACCAAGCTCACACAGGGCCCCTTTGTTTGGCGCCGCCACGGATGTCGGCGGGACTTTCTCCCAGGCCCTGCTCCTGGCCCACAGCAGAGCCAAATGCCGGCTTAAGCCCACCTGGGCCTCGGCCTGTTTGCAAACCACCCACCTTCCAGGGGAGGGCCTGTGCCCCTGAGAGCCCAGGGCTCCGCCCAGCCCCCAGCCATGCCCTCCGCCTCTTGCCAGTCTAGCCTAGCTGGGCCCTGGGCAGATGCACAAAACCCACCAATGCCCAGGATGGAGCTGCTGCCCTCCTGACGGTGTGCTCGGAGCATCTGCACACCCAGCCCTGGTCCGAGGTCCAGAGATGCATCCAGCACCAGGGAGTGCAGGCCGCCCAGCGGCTCCCCCTGCTTAAGAGGCCAAAGGTGCCCAGCAGGGCACAGCGCGGCAGTCTGGGCAACCCCATCCCTGCCCCAGCCTGGCTCCACAGCGCCCATCCCTGTTCTGCTGGAGGCCTGCTCCACTGTGTCCCCACCTGCTCACTGGGGAGCACCCTCCCACCCTCCGTGGCCCCCTAAGAGCTGTTGGGAGAAGCAGTGAGCCCCAGGGGAGAGGCCTGAACAGAACCAGTGAGACCACGGCCCCAGGAAGACTAGAGCGAGCTCTGAGCTGTGCCCTCGAGGGACAGAGGTTCGCAGGCCACCAGGAGGACCCCAGGGCGCAACGGCCCTGTTCCAGTCAGCCAGGGTCAGTCCCGAAGGGGGACTGCCCGGTTTTTCCCGGCAGTGTGGGCACAGCACGGGGTGGGGACACAGTCCCACGAGGAGTTCGACGTGGGAACACGGAGCGGACTCCACAGGAGCCCTGCGGCGGATGGGCGGGCAGAGCGTCCGCAGACAAGGCCTGGCAGGGGGGGTCTCCCCAGCCGCAGCTCAGAGCTGCTTGCGCGGAATTCCCGGCTTGGCTTCAGAGGGAATTCAAGCCCCAGCCTGCCCGGCCTCCTGCTCCGCGCCTGAGAATCACTCCTCCTTAATTTCCAGCGACCACATCGAGCTGTAAACTGTAAAACCCTAATGAGGAAATGCGCTGTGCCTCCCCCTGCTAGCGCCTCCCGGTCAGTTGTTAGAGTGGGCAATAAACTGGGTTTTACAGTTTGGAAGCCAGTCGTTTCAGAATTCAGACAGCCCCGGCGCCGCGCCTCGCCCTGCTCACCTGGGCAGGACCCCTGTGTCCCGCCTGCTGCTGGGTGGGCAGCGGGGCGACGCAGGCAGCTGTCCCCCTCCCCCCCGTCCCCCTTCCTCCCGAGAGGACAGCGGGACCCCCTCCCCCGGCAGGCAATGGAAGCCGCGGGGGGCCCCTCGCATCAGTGCGGCTGGGGCGAGCACAGGCTCAGCCGGCTGCCGTCAGGCTGCCCACACGCGGGAAGGACTCGCGTGGCTGAGGGCCCCATGTCAGGGCCCTTCCTGGAGTTGCCACCCGCGTGGACAGTGAGCCCGGAGGCCCGGCTGGCCGCTGTCGCCGCGCGTCTCTCCGCTCAGAGGGGTCTCTCCCTTGCCACGGTCTGAGATGCCCGCGAACGCCCCACCCGGGAGAGGCCGCCCTCGGGGCCACCTGGCGGTCGCGCTCGGGTCCCGGGCAAGGCCTGGGTCTGGCTGCGCAGGGAGCTCGGAATTCCCCGGGTGGCCGGAGGGAGAAGGGGCGGGACGACTCGGAGAGACGCGGAGCGCCCGGGGGAGCGCGGACCGCGGCGGCGACAGAGCTGGACCCCCCCCCCTGGCGGCCACCTGGCCTCCCCCGCCCCGGCAAGGCCGGCGACCAGCGCCCCCTGCCGCGAAGGGCTCCGCCGCCGGGACCCGCCCCCCGCGCCCCGCTCCCGGCACCGCCCACGCTCCGCCCCCACGTGGGCGCGGCCCAATCCCGGGGCCGCCGGCGCGCGCGTCACGGGCCTCCATTGTTATGCAAATATAAAGAAGGTAAAAGGCGCCCCGGCGCGGGAGGCGAGCGAGAGCTGCGGCGCGTGGGGAGGCGCGTGGGAACCGCGTGGGAGCCGCAGCCGAACCGAGCAGGCGCCGGGACCGCGCGGCGTCGCCGTCCCCGGCCGGGCCCGGCCCCGCGAGCCGAGCGCGCTCCCCCGTCGCCCACCCGGGCGCGGCTGGATGCGGCAGGGTCCCCGCGGCGGCGACCCCCGGCCCCGAGCGCCCGGAGCGCCCAGAGGCGGCGTGCGGGGCCCGGGGACGCCGCGCCCTCCATGCGCCGAGGCGCGCCCCGAGCCAGCCGGGGGCCTGCGCCGCAGCCGCCGCCGCCGCCCGCGCTGAGCCCCGGCCCGGCCCGCGGCCCGCGCCCGGCGGCAGCATGAGCCAGGCCGAGCTGTCCACCTGCTCCGCGCCGCAGACCCAGCGCATCTTCCAGGAGGCGGTGCGCAAGGGCAACACGCAGGAGCTGCAGTCGCTGCTGCAGAACATGACCAGCTGCGAGTTCAACGTGAACTCGTTCGGGCCGGAGGGCCAGACGGCGCTGCACCAGTCGGTCATCGACGGCAACCTGGAGCTGGTGAAGCTGCTGGTCAAGTTCGGCGCCGACATCCGCCTGGCCAACCGCGACGGCTGGAGCGCGCTGCACATCGCGGCGTTCGGCGGCCACCAGGACATCGTGCTCTATCTCATCACCAAGGCCAAGTACGCGGCCGGCGGCCGGTGATGCCGCCGCGACCCCGCCCCGCCCGCGCGCGTCGTCCCTGCTGCACCTTCCCGCCAACTACCTCGGTGCGCGCCGGGTCGAGGCCCCGCCGGGAGGCCGCGGCCACGGCGGATGCGGCGCGTGCGTCCGGCCGGCCCCGGGGTCGGGCAGCCCCGCCGCCGAGCGCCTCCCCGCGGCCGCAGCCGCTTCCCACGGCCCCGCCCGCCGCCTCCAGTCCCCTTTGAAATTTGAGTCCCGCAACCGGCAAGTTCGGAATCCCGGGATACCGGATCCCCGCGCGAAACGCTTGTCCCGAAGGCGAAAGGCGGGCGGCGGGGGCGCGGCGGACTCGGAGCTAACCCGCCGCCCGCAGGACCCGCCCGGCGCCGAGGAGCAGCCGCCAGGGCCGCCGTGCGCCGCTCGCGCGCGGCCGGGGACACGCTCCGCTGCTCTGGGTGTTCGCGACTATTTATCTTGTGTGTGTCCATTTGTGGGTGAAGTTTGTGCGCCTGGTTTTTGTTTGGAAAACACTGTGCGTGGTCATGGGGGAGGACGCGTCGTTTTCTAGTCTTTAAAAACTTGAGTCTCCCAGTTCTTGGTTGCACTGAAAATGCCGCCCGGCCCGTGGCGTTCCCGTGCTGCCCCCACGCCGCCGCCCCGCCCCTGCTCCCCACGCCCCCGTCCCTGCTCCCCACGCCCCCGCCCCGCCCCTGCTCCCCACGTCGACCCCCGCCCTCCTCCCTCAGATCGTGAGTTTCGGAAGCCCCAGGGCCTCTCTCCCCCGCCCTCCTGGATGAGGCCACCACCCCCAAACCGGCCTGTTTAGCAGTTTCCCGGGATCCTGGAAGCTCGCTGGCGCCGGGGGGTGGCGGGGACACGGGGGCGGGGAAGGGCTGAGGGGACGTTCCTTACCTTTTCTAGTGCGTTCTATCATAGTTAACGGTTGCACACTTTTTTTAAAAAGTAAATGGATTTGCCACAATTAAATGTCATAACATTTATGACAATATAAAATATTAACATATTTTAAGCCAAGTTTTAGGTGTATTTTTTGAACCTTGGTTATAAACCCAATTTTAAAGGGCGATGTATCCAGCGTTGTGAAGGCAACAGAGTGTACCCATATTTATATTTTTATAAAATACCTATAAGACTGTGAATCTCTTGTGCTAATGGCCGAGTGAATTGAAGGACCGCTTTGCCCCTTTCCAGCCTCCCAGAGCGTCGAGGACCCCCCCCTTCGAATCCGAAACCCTGCCATGGGGGAGGGGCTGCGCCCAGACCTGGGGCCGGGAGGTTCTCCTGCGTCACTTCGGTGAAAGGCGCCCTTCCTGGTTTCTGTGGCTCTGATTTTCTATGCAGCCCCACACCCCTTGTTGTTTTGATCCTGAGAAATAAAAGGGAGGCTGAATTATTCAAATTTAAATGAGGTTTCCCCTTCATGGAAGGGCTGCTGACCCTTCGTGCAGAAATGGGGAGCACTTGAGGACAGAGGTGGGTGGAGGCCCTTTGTGCGTGGCTGGTCCGATCCGGGCGGCCCTCTGTGGCTTTTTATAAAACTTTGTGTGAGAAGAATATATTGATAATGTCAGTGCAACAAGCAGACATTGAAATGGAGGCACAGATTACTCCACAAGGAGTTCTTCTGTATATTTTTTCTAGATGCAAATACCTTTTTAATTATGTTAATTAATGTTAAGACTTTCTAGGCTCATATCGAAGCTGTGTGGGTCACGGGATGATCACTTCTAACTGGATAAAGTCTGTGCAGCACATCCCCGTGTACGATACTGACTTGTAGCCCAGCGGGAAAAATTTATAAATAAATTTTTCATTGATCTTTTGATATTAAAGAAAAAGTTTCTTGGTCCTTCTTGGCTTTGGCACAAGTGGCGGAACATCCTCTTTGGGGCTCAGGGTCAGGCTGCGACAGTTTGTGGGTGCCGTCTGCACAATGCTTGGCTTGTGTTTGCCTGAAGACAGAGCCTGGTCAGCTGGCTCCCAGCCCCACGCAGCGGACAAGCCCAGCCCGGCCGCACACAGGACTCCTGAGGACCCAGCGCCTCCAGAGTGCCCAGAGCTGTGTTCCCCAGCAGAGCCGCTGAGACCTCCACCCCCCAAGAGGGGAGAGTTGGGCCTGAAGCCCTGACCACTCCGACCCCCAGAGGGTCACGCTGGAGGGTGCCTGCTGCACAGAAGGGATATCTCTTAAACTGGGGGCAAATACCATAGCTGCTCACTCCTGACAAGCAGAAAGTCCCCTGGAGGCATCGGGAAGCCCACACAGGCCTGGAGTCCGGCACCCTGAGGTAGACCTGAGCCTCGGGCTGAGCACCCACATTCGCAAGAGGAGACAGCAGAGCAGGGTGACTGTTGCCAGCACCTGACAGAAACGAGCAGAGACTCCTGGCCACTCCTGAGACACCCCCCAGCAAGAGCAGCCAGCGGAGAGCTTGGACAACGGCAAAGCCCGGGAATTCCAAGGTAACCCCTTTTCGTGCGTTCAGACTCCTCTGCGGAGGGCCGGGGAACCTGCTTCCCCAGCTGTCCTGCAGTTCGGCCTGCCACAGACCCCACCTCCGCGTGCCTGCCTGCTCTGCGTCTGCCTCCCTGTTTACCCGCGGTTTTCCAGGCCCATTTTCCATTGCTTACGCATTTCCTACCCTGCGGAATTGGCCCAGGAGACGGGCCAGCTCCCTGAAGCAGGCTCTGGGAAGTCTTGCCTTCACCCAGCTTGGGGGTGCCCAGCTGTTGGAAAGGAGAGTGGCCACAGAACCTTGACACAATTGGGGTATCCAGAGAATGAGGGCAGGCCCGGGCATCACCAGGGCGGCCCAGGGGTATGCTGGACCACGCCACCCTCCCCACCCAGGGTCTGATAAAACCAAGGTAACATTTGTTCTTGGCAGTAGCCTGCAGGTGGGTGGGGTCCCAGCCAGTTGCCACCCCTGCAATATCTGGGAAGTTCTCCCACCGTGGAGAGGCTTGGCCTGGCACCGGGGGCCTCCCAGGCACAGGATTCTGGAAAAGAACTCTCTTAAATTCTCTATTCTGAAAGATACATTTGACTGAGAAAGGCCTTGGGCTGCTTTTCTCTCCAGCAGGAACAAAAGGAAGCCTGGCCGGGCAGGCGGGTGGGAAGCTGAGAGGAGGGCTGGGAGGGTGGAGCCGCGGGGGGCATCTGCTTCCTCCCCAGGTGCCGCTGTGTGGCTGTGTGCACTGGCCAGCCCGGATGGCTGGGGCCAGCCTCGCTGAGCTTCCTCACCTGGCATGGCCTGAGGGGGGGCAGGGGTGCAGGCAGACACACTGTGAAACCCCGACTGACCCCACCTCTTGGGGTCAGATCTATGAATGAAATCTCCGCTGGGAAGGTCCAGGTGTCCAGAACCCAGGAGGGAGGTCTGGGGGGCGCTGGGCACAGTCCACGGGCTTGTCCTTGTTGGGGAGCCCTGGGCAGCACATTGCAAGAACGGGCAGCTCAGTGGAGGGGAGGCTGGCCACGTGTGCACCAAGAGTGGGCCTCCCTGGCCACAGAGTGGGCACATGTATGCCCCTGTGCAAGGGGAGGGGGCAGCTCTGGGGTACGGGCAAAGAGGAGGAAGTCCCTGGTGTCTGGCTGTGGCCAGGGGAAAGCTGCGGTGTGTCTCACGCCCATTTCCCTCCCGAGTTCAGTGGCCTGTGCCCACACTTCTTCCAGGGGCTCTGTGCTCAGCAGATCACTTGCTGCAGCAGGGTGGTGTGCGTACTGGCAGCTATGGTGGGTGCTGGCCTACGGCAGTTACTGGGGAGTCCCCAACCCCCCACCCCAGGCAGGCCCTTTGACCAGGGTGAGAAGGCAGGACTGGGTGGCCCAGCCTACGTGGTGGGGCGGGGGGTGGGGGCTCCGGCCTCCTGGATCTGCAGGTGTGCCTTGGAGGCCAGGGGAGGGGTCCAGCCGAGAGGCGCGGAGGGGAGCCAGGGCGGAGGGGCTGGCAGGTGAGGGCTGCGTCCCTGGGAACCCCTGAGAGAAAGGAGACAGTGCCGGCAAGGTCAGGGCCTGCCCCACATACCCCGCCAGGACTGCTGGGCTCCCGTCCAACTGTCTGTCTCTGATCTGACCCCGGCTGAAGGCAGGAAGCGCTTACGTTGGAACGGACGCCACGGAAAGACAAGGAAATGCAGGAAGATGGTCAGCTAGAAAGAGTGATGTCTAAAGCCGGCAGGCGTGGGAGCAGGCCAGGGGGCGGCGGGCAGGACTCAGAGGCCGGGGTGCGGGGGAGAGCGGGAGGTCGGGACAGAGCGGGGGCGACGCGGGAGCACCCAGAGCAGAAGCCTCCGACCTCCCGCAGGCAGCGGCCCCTGAAGCTCGCTGGGCCCGCGGGGAGGAGGCAGCGTCCACCGGGGCCTTGAAGGACGGGAAAGGAAGCCCGCGCCGGGGACAGCTGGGAACGAACCCCAGGCCGGGATGCGAGGGCGCAGGCCAGGGGAGGCGGCCGTGGCCCGGCTGGGAACCTCTGCAGCCGCTCCTCCTCCGGGGCAGACCCTCGGGGCGCCGGGTCCCCGGGAGGCCGCCCTCCGCCCACACCCGCACCCTCCGGCTCCACGGCCCGGAGCCGCCCCCGCCGCGGGAAGCCTCCCACGCCCGCCCGCGCGTTCTTCTGCGGGGCCGTCCTTCCGACCGTCCTGCGCGCGTCCGTCTGTCGGTCTTTCTTCTCTCGCCTCCAAAGCCGCGGCCCCCCATTCATTCCCGAGGCCTCTGCCCTTTCCTCCGCGCCGTCCGGCTCGGCGAGCAGCTGCTATGCTAATGAGGGCGGGGGCCGGGCCC